CCAATTGTGATCAGGTTCTCATCTTTTCGTAGATTATCTTTCAAATTAATCTTAAAATTAACGAGTATGGATTGTACAAGTATTGTGTATGAAGCTTGCTTTTCTAGAAGTGAAATTATGAGATCCTATGAATATATTCGTGTCCAATTGTGATCAGGTTCTCATCTTTTTTTTAGATTATCCTTTATCATTCAAATTAATCTAAAATTATGAGATTCTACATATATATATATTGGTGTCCAATTGTGATCAGGTTCTCATCTTTTCGTAGATTATCTTTCAAATTAATCTTAAAATTAACGAGTATGGATTGTACAAGTATTGTGTACGAAGCTTGCTTTTCTAGAAGTGAAATTATGAGATCCTATGAATATATTCGTGTCCAATTGTGATCAGGTTCTCATCTTTTTTTTAGATTATCCTTTATCATTCAAATTAAGTTTAAAACTAACGAGCATGGATTGTACAAGTATTGTGTATGAAGAGTAATTTTGCGTTTTCAAATTGGATATATGAAATTGAGAAAAATGTCTTGATTCCTTTCAATATCGTTGTACACAATTTTCCATAGTTTAGATGTATGTGTAAAATAGATTTTTAATTGGATTATCCAATCAGTCCAACAACCAGAGAAATATCCGTCCTGTGCACGAGCACGTGTGCACTTTAATATCTCAAAGAATTTATCGTCGCAAGTTCTGCAGGATGGCAATTTTTTGGAGTTCAATTTTAATAACAGTAAAGTTCTTGGCACACTCTGTCCGCATACGCATAAAAGCCTACTTTTACACACCCTTTCCACTCTTTTACAACGCTTGCTTTACGTGCCCATCCCGAAAATGTCCGTGGTAGGTTATTTTTCAGTATTCTATGTCTCACATATAATTTGAGAAGTTTCAGAGAAAGAACTCATTTATTAAGTTTTATTTTAATCTCCCTTAATTATTATTAACTTGATATTATAAATAATATGAAACACGCAATACAATTATTGTCAACAAATTTGAAGAAATTAAATTAAAATATCGAAAAAAGAAAGTGATTTAGATTTTATTCTAATACTTTTGTAATCTCTTCAATTATTTTTATCACTATTAAGATCTTCTTTTGTGCCCTTAGAATTGTATTACTGAAACGTATACTGTATTACACTGGGGTTTGGAACAGAGCCACGTATCTTTTTATTTCCTTTAGATACATCCTTCTTATACGTCTTCCTTTCCCATTTTGTAATTTCTGTTGTTTGGAATTTTAATCTTTCAACGAGCTTCGAAATTTTTCAAATACTTTTTCCTTCTTCTAGAGAGAAACGTTTATTTTCCAAAGAGATCAAATTTTAACTTAACATAATTCATAGTCAAAGAAACGAACGAATTCGAACTAAAAGAGAAAATTTCACGGTTTAATCCAATATCATTAATTTAATGGTAAATATCGAAATCGAAGAACACGTATATTGGACGAGTAGTGGTGGCAAATAAACCATCCTTGTATATCTTGCGGATTGTGTAAGTATCTCTGCATGTTTACTCGTACACACAAGCGCCAAGTATGAACACTTGATCTCGAAGGTTTCGAAGGGGGGTGTCTGCGGTTCAGCCGAAACCGAAATTACGGGGTTAATGGAAGTCTGGACGTGGCTGCCTTCCTTCCAAGGAAACGGAAAACGGAGCTGGAAAGGTATTTTCACTCTCCCTCTTGTTGTAAAAGAAAAAGAGCAGGTTGCCCTTTGCCGTGGAAATAACCGCCTCTTCCTATCTTTCGCCCTCAGACCTTCCTTCATTTTCGGAACAAATGCGCGCAATTACTTGTTACCTTGCCCTACGCCTCCGTCATTAGAGATAAATAAGAAATCGGGCTGCATTAACGGGTGAACCGGGAGATCGTAAAAAAAAAAAAAAAAGAAAAAAAGAAAGGTCTCTTTTTTCTTTTGGCTCCGTTTCTCTTTACGAAAACAAGAATTGTAGATTAATATAATTTGTTCGAGATGAAGTGAAAGATAAAAATATGGAAGATGGAGTAAAAAAATTTATTATCGTTATAAAAATATCGTAGATTTATAAATTTTTAGAAATACGAGAATTGTAATTTGATTAAAAGAGTGCATCAATTGAGTTAATATTTGGTATTCTTTTTTTTTTTAAATTTCATTAATAACGTTGATTGATTTAAGATTATCGCAATTTTAAATATTTAATCTTTAATTTTAAATAACTTTTCTGCAAGTACTTCGTTATGTTCGATTAATTAAGGGGTATGGTAATTGAATCATGTGAGAATGATAGTTTTCAATGAATATTCAGGTTTGATTTCGAAAGTGGCGACAACTCCATCGTTGAAAGGCATAGAGATGCTTCCGTCTATCATGATGCCAGCATCAAAGCCAGAAGACTTCACGGAAAGCTTGTTGCACTTTTGTTTGCTGGGGCAATTGTTTCTCTCGCAACGTGAATTGTGATGCATCTCGCGGATCATGTACGTCATGTTTAAATCCTCTGAAAAGTATTGTTGAAATTATTTTTCTCGATCTATCTATATATATATATATATATTTTTTTTATATTTAATTTAACGATTGAATTTTCTCTCTTAAATTTTTCTTACATTTTCTCGAATTAAGGCGCAAAATTTTCCCTAAAATAAATACAACTCTCAAATTTCTATAAATATCGTGCAATATTGTTTTATGTCCCCATAATTCAATTTTATAAATACTTTTAATTGGATTCTCGAGTTAATTAAAATGGAAATAAATGAAAACATTGCAAATTATAGAAACTCCATTAAAATAACTCTTCTTTCTCTACAGGATATTTCGTTTAATTAAATATTTTAATTTTAATGAAATTAAATGTTTAGTAAATATTTCGTATATTAAATTCAATTATTTCCATTATGTGCGGAAAAAGGATTATGATCAAGGATATATTTGATTGATAAATCTTATTGTTAAAATTCTATTGTGCGATATTTTTTACGATATAAAAAAATCCTATTTGAACATATATATTTCATATACATGTTGCTTAAATTGAGCATTTTGATAAATCAACAAAATTTGATTTTCATCTTATCATCTTATTACGATAATTATTAACGATTCGATATTGCATTACCTTCAGAATAGATGAGAGCCCGATGATATTTCTTCAATATTTTGTAAATTTCGTGGCGGCTTAGCTTTTGGCCGGTTGCAATTTCCACGATTTTTTCAACAGTTTCAGCCGACTGTATGTTTATAGTTTTATACCAAAATCGGGAACCCGTACCCGTGCAAATGCACATACCTAAACGAGGAGGAATTCGAATGGAATTAGATGTTAAAATTTTCAATTACTTAAAAAGTAAAAATAATTAGAAGTAGAAGAAAATTCGAGTAGAAAGATGCATTAATGAAATCGTTCAAAAAAGTTATATTTGTATATATATTACTTCATAAAACTAAACTTTTAAATATTCTAAATATTATTTTCTTTTTTCTATTAATTTTCCTCTTATCGTTAAAAAAATGAAACAATTATATAGAGATCGTAGCTTGCTTTCTTATATTTACATCTTTTATCATTTATCCCGCTTCAATTTTTATTTTTTATCTTTTTTAACAAATATTCTATTCTCCAAAATTTTTGACAAAAATCAACTAAAAAAAAACGCAAAAAGAAAAAAATATATAAAAATCAAAAGTTCAATAAATAATTCATAATTTATAATATTACTTTTTATTCAGGAAAATTATTTAATTCTATATTTACATACCTGAACATCGAATTTTGTACGATTTTTGTTCCTCGATATCAAGGAATAATGTAATCGGCCTTGCTGCCAAAAATTCCCCTATAAACACCTAAATTGATCGAAAAAAATTTTCAATATTTATATATACTGTACATATTTTCTTTTTAAATTTATCATGAAAACTAACTTCGTTTAACGCCAGCCAAGGTAAGGTCCTCTCACGGGGTTGAAGGGAGTCCTCTATTTTCCTTTGTATCGATCGTGTAAGAACTCTGAGAATTCAATTAACTTTAATTAAAGCAATTAATGAGATTGATCAATGGTTCGAGATGTTTTACATTCGTTTCTTTTTTCTTTTTTTCTCTCTCTTTCTTCCATTCACCGTGGAAACGAAGGTGGCGAGGAGAAGGAGTTTCGTTCAAGGAATAAGAATACGCGAAGCAACTGTGCTCGAGAGAAATGAGTATTTAATTTTAATGACATTAACGAGGAAGAATGAAGGAGGAAAAGGGAACGAAGGAGGAATGGAAGGTAACGAGGAACAACAAAAGAGTAACGAAATTGCACCAATTGATATAATTATATTAATATCGATATAAATGGTTTGACCTGTGTAAAACGAATAATTGATAATTGATGATAATATTAATTGATAATAATAATAACGTTGATTATCAATATCACAGAGGATATTGTACGTATTTTGAGATAGGTCGATAAGTTTTCTCGTTTTTTGTAAGTGAATGAGATTAATGTCATTTTTATTTTAATGAAATCTTTCTTTAAACAAATAATTTTAAACTTATTATTTTAACATGTCTTATAAAAGAAAAGGTATTATATTATTAAAGATGTAAAAATAAAAGGAAGAATGAAAGTAGTGAAAAAAAACGTTGTGAAAATTGAAAAAAATATATATGCATATAATGAAAATTCCATAATAAATTATTGTTAATATTTATTCGCTAATAATTTCGTAAAATTTTCTATCAATGACCAATGTTCTGTTAGATTAAATACATAATGGATGATAATCAAATAAAAGCTTTGACCGGAAATAATTCGATTAAGATAACGCACGAGTAATCAATATTCAAACCAAGTATTGGATATTATATGTATATTTGTACAAGTTAGGCTATAGAATAAAACTAGAAGATTTTTTTGGCCAATCGATAACTATGTTTTGGCATACACATTAATCACAGTTATAGTAACAATTTTTCTTTGATAAATTTGTTTTTCATATAAATCATGGTTCCTCGTAAATTATCTGTATATTGTAATTTATGTTTTATGTTATAATAGATAAATTCAATTATCAAATATATACGATAACGATATCAAAATCACAATGGAAAGTATGATTGAATGGAAAATTGTTTTTCTTTCTATAAATTATTTAAATAAAAACCAAGCCACTTGGTCCTTTTCTTTTTCTTTTCATATAATGGTGATTTTTCTATAGAGTGTAATTTATAAACTTTACTTCAATTGTCAAATTTTTATTAATATGTAACAGTTATATTATATCAAAACTTGATCATAATTTTAAACTTAAACAAACAAAAAAATAATTAACTTCTTCCTTTTTCTTTTAATTTTTAATAAATTACGATTTCTTTTTATACTACTCAATTTAAAATTTCCACATTCTTTGAACAATTTGTTTATATCAATTAAGAAATATACTTGTTTCTCTTCTTCTGTAAATTACCATTCCTCCAAGATTTAAAAAAATTATTAAACAGGCAATAATTATTAATTATTAAAATTATTAAAATGTCAATAGTATAACAAAATAAAACTGATATACAACTCGCCCCTCTTCTCCCCCCATTTTCATTCTCCAAACAAAAAGAAATCCAATTCTCCTTCCCTCCTTTTTTTCTTTTCTTTTATATTCATACATATATATATATATAAATTACGGTTTCTCATAAAATTTCCTTAATATATAATTAAAAAGTTAAGACTTCTTTGCACGAGTCGTAACTACACGGTTATTGTAATTTACAAGTTATAACTGCCAAAGTTCCGGGCGTGCAAGAGGTTATAACTCGAAACTACTCGTAGGAGAGAGGACCGGGCCGTGAAATGAAGACGCATTACGGCCTTTATGAAAATTCAGAATCGGCGATACGTACACCTTGCTTAAAACTTAAGAGAATAGATTGCCCCGTTATGCGATTCGTCCCTGGATAGAAAGGGAGGGAAGATACTTTGCCCGGGGAATTTTATCGTTTTTACCGTTGTAATTTAAAGTCTTGGAGAACCGCTGAAGCAACGTAAAGTTTAATCTTTGAAATGGAACCGGAAGTGGAAACTCGAAATGTGAGCTGAGTCAATGAAAATAAGAAAATATATTAAATTCTCCCCCCCTCTCTCTCTCTCGCTAATAATATCATGAAATTATAATTTTATCGTTGGAGGAGAGAAACAAGTATCCGTTCTTTTTCTTTTTTTGTTTTAACGTTTGATTTGGACGAAACGATACGTGGATTAATATGGAACTTCTTTATAATTGTTCGTCGAAATAGATCTATGATTTTAATATATTATATCAATTCAATTGGACGAATTCAATCTTTGAAATTGTCTCAAGGAAATAGGATGCACGAAAAAAGGGTGAACGTTGATAAGGGAAATTTCTCTACCCTTAAAGAATAATAAAAAATGCGCATATTGATTTTTGATCAAGGGATAGGACAAACTTAGATCGGTGGGAATAAGTTTTTTCTCTTCCCCTGCAAGTAACCTACTTGTGTCTTCTCTCCCCGAACTCGCGGCTCTTCTCGTGTATATGAAAGGGTCGTCTAAAAAGTCCCTCCCCGACCATTATCGTTTTTATACGACTCCTCATCAATGTATCGTAGTCTCCTCTGTACAGTTTCTCGAATATGCGCTCGATATCGGCCACGTACTTCGAAGGGACCGTGAAAGTGTTCTCCTTCGAGATATTTGGATTGATCCCGCATACAGGCTTCCTGTTGTTCGTAATTAATTTCGAGGCTAGAAGGAACATGCCGTCCCCGCCTATCGTGATCACCAAGTCTGCCCAATTCATGAATCTCGACGCGATTCCCATTCTGTTCGATAAAAGATACGGTGAATATTAAAATAAAGAAGTTTTGCTTTGTGAATTTAAAGAAGAATCGTTTGTTATAGTCGATATGCAGGACTTGTCTTTATACTATATACTTCTAGAAATTTATTTAATTAATTGAGAATAATATCTCGAATTCGAATATTTTAACAAAATATATTGTTTATTAAAACGAGTAAAGATTAAAATTTTATCTTAAAAAATAATATATATATATATATTTACTTTTACTTTCTTTTCTAATTTTTAGACTTAATTAATTGTCACAGAGTTCAAGCAGTTAATAACGCGTTAATTACCGAATTAATTTTACCAAACACGAGATATCTTATAAAAGAGAGAGAGAGAGAGAGAAGAAACGTGAATATTTTCCCAATTACATCCCTTTTTAATTATCATTGTTATTTTACAGAGAGATAGTAGATAACAAATCTACTTAAACTTGGTTATCCTTAATTAACATCCGAAATTAATTTCACCGAAAAGAAGATATAAAATAAAAAGAGGGAGAACGTGTAAGAAAGGGAGGAAATATTTCTGAGAGATACGTTCCATTTATATATATATATATATATATCCCTCCTCTTTTCTCTCTTCGTACGTTTGTTTCTGCACAAGCGCAGCTGTTTCATCGGGCATTAAAGTATATTACGTAATAACTCTTGCCGATACCTTTTCGTGATACGAAAACTGATGTCGAGCTTGTTGAGGACCGATATCAGATTTTGCTCGCAAGCAATCTGTCGTTGATGCTCGGCGAGGATATCATCCGGATTCTGGCCCTCTCCCTTCATCTTCGACAATATTTGATCCACGTTCAGATCGGGATTCTGGGATCGCAGGTACTCCAACGAGGTCAACTTGGACACGCACAGGATCCTTCGAGGACGATAAGGTGTATTGTTCAGGTAATTTAAGAATCTCATGGTGATTAGTTGATAAAGTTTGGGGAGGAGAGCGTTCGAAAAAAGAAAAGAGAAAGAAAAGACAAAGAAAAAAAGTGTTCTCGAAATGATTTTAAGGTTAGACGATAATTTAGGGGTTATGCACTCGGAGGGAGGGGAGGAGGGGGTTGAAAAAAAGGATTTATAGAAGCGTTGCGCGTCACAGTCACTTCGGATCAATACTAATTAAACGGGGGAAATTAGTTTGGTTTCGTTGTGATATTAAATATTGAACCAAGAGATTGTTCGGTTCTCGTTGCTTTCAAACCAAACACCCCGGCGTATCGTGTAATATTTAAACACCGTCCAAGTTTCACTTTATTTTAACGAATTGTTAACGAGTTCCCCTCCCCTCCCCCCCTCCTCCTCCTCCTCCTTGTTTATTAACTTGGAAATTTTCGTTCCAAATCGTTCTATAATTATTATCTCGATAAATCCGCGAGATAGCGGTTTATTGCTCCCCGAAGATTTATATTTTGATAATGTAATTCGATTTCGTGGGATCGAGAATGATTAATTTGTACAATTTATATATTTATATTGTACAATCTTTTTCTCGAACGCGATTATTTTAATTTCGATGATTCACGGTAATAATATTATCTGTACATAATTATGATGTTAAAATTACATTTAATATTTTCATTTCGAACTAAGATTTACAAAAGGGAAAATTTGATGGATCTATTTTTCTTAATTTACTTTACGTCATCTAGTAATCTAGTAATCGAAATAAAACTAAGAAGAAAGTTTACACTTATTTTCTCATCGTTCTCAAGATCGAGAATAGGAAAGCTTGATAAATCCACTACTTTCTGATATTCATAAGGCAATCATTTTTCAATCACAGATGTAAAATAACTCGATCGATTGAATTATCGAGTAATAATTCTATTCCAAATATACATCACAATACAATTAATAATCCAACAATTTTCCCCAAATATAAAATAACGATCTTCCACTTCTGTATCCAACAACAAATTTTCACAAACAACCATCCGCTTCCTCAACTTTGCAAATCGCATCTCGTCCCTGCGGGTTCCCAACTTGGCAGCCAGAGAACAGAGGCGGAGTGGCATCTAAAACTGATGACGAGGTTGCATCAGGGAAACGTGTTCTTCAGGATTACTCACGTGTCCTGGGCGATACTTGGCACTCAGGCCTGTAACCGGGAGCCACCAGGCCTCCGTGTCTTGCGCCCTGGCTTCCCTGGCAAACTTGGGGACCAAAGTTCCGCGAAATTTTCGTCTCAATGGACACTGACCATTAAAGCCACTTAAGGTATCACGATCTTCCCTTAAGCTCGCTCGTAAGGGGGATGTCTCCTCGGCCACGAAATATTCTTGACAACAACCACCAGAGATTTTAGCCAAGGGGGAGGAGGGGAGGAAGGAACTCTCGAAGAGTTCTCGAGTTTCCTTGAAAGCCGTCGTTTTTATTACAGCTTCGTGACATTTTTTTGTCCCCTTCCCCTCCCCCTCAAATTTCTCCCGGATACACAGGTATCGTACGTTGTTCATGTGCCGTTTTGGAAAAAAAAAGAAAAAATAAATAAAAAGGAAAAAGAGAGAGAGAGAGAAAAGGGAAGAAATTGTGACGCGTGTGTACGGATATTTCTCGATGGCGCATTTTGTACAAGGTTTTCCCTGCAACTGAAGAGAGGATAGAAGAAGAAGAAGAAGAAGAAGAAGAAGAAGCTCGTGGTAAACCCGTGATGGAAGTTTTCCGTGGATAACTGACCGGCGAAAGCCATTTACGATAGCGAAATGTTCTCTTAAGACCCGTTGTCGCGAAATATCCGAGCGATTTTATATTTTACGAGCCACGGGCGAACACTTGCTGTTTGGAACTTTGCTCAAATTCGTACCGTCCGTTGGATTCATGTATGAGCTGAGATGATATACGGCTGAAGGTAGAAGGAGAGATTTCTTTGCGCGATTATTTCTCCCTTTCGTATCTGTAAATATTTGTCAAATAATCGAATCACTCGATATTAATTTGTTTCTAATTAATATTTCGTAAGCCGAGAAAAAATTCAAAAGGAGAGTTAAAATTTTTGCGTTATTGGAGTTATAAGTTGTACTTTTTCAAGGCTGATCTCAAAGTGGATCGATAAAAAAAAGTAAATTTTCTTATAAATCTCGCGAAAATGCGGTGTCAATGCGGATATTATTCAACATTGAAAAAGTTTCTAGAAAAATAATAATCCTTACAACAAAATTCATCTACTTTTGTAACGATATACCTTTCAATTCAAATTCGAATTTAAAGATTTATTATCCATTTTCCATATTCAAGTGAACAAAATGTACAACAAAAGTTTATATATTTAAAGTTTGTATCATATCTACAAACATAATACAATAATAGACCACACATTAAACTTATCCTCTGTAATTATAATTACTCGTTTAACAGGGGTTGCTCGAACAAATACACGCGCATCCTTTTCTCCTTTTCTTTTTTTTCCTTTCGAACGTCACTCTTCCTACAAGTTTTCACGATTTCCTTTATCAATTTTCTAAATTCCATGCATATGCAACAGCAACGTTTAGGCCTTGCTAAGGCTTGGCAACGGTTTGGGACACGATAATTGTATTTCCCTAGAATTTTTTTTATTACGACATGACAACGAGCCACCCACCACAATAATTACACGTCGCACGCAGGTTTCTAGCTCGAGGGGGGATGCTCCAACTCGAGCCTCTGCTTGGCCGGCGACGGCTAACTTCGCGACAAACTTCCACTCTCTTTCTCTCGACACAGGTCGAGCAAGGTTGAGGCTGACCAACGGGGGCCACTTATGACGATACGCCGCCCGCGGCGTAGAAATTTGCTCGGCCAACTTTTAAGCCCCCAGTCCCCCTTCCGTCCACTCGATTTCGAGGATTATTAAAAGAAGAAGAGGGCCCGATCCAAGATCCGATTCCTCAAGTAATTTAAATTGTTCGAAATTTTTACCTAGGATAGGATTTGGGTAAATCAGTTTGAGAGGTTATGGAAAAATTAAGGATGAAAATGGAAACGATCGAGTTGAATTTAATATTTTGTGAAAATATTTTAATAAAAATTATTATTAATTAGGAAATAATTTTTAAATTTTTATTATTTACGAAGAAACAAGAATCGTATATTGTGATTTACACAGTCGTAAATTAGAGATTTAATTTATATTTTAATACGACCACGAGATATATCGAATAATTTCTGTGTTTGAAATAATCAGAAAATATGTTTCGATTATTCGTATTCTTTATTTATTTTTGATAACGTTTTTGTACGAGGTTATTTTATTATGGGGGTCAGTATATTTTTTTTAATTGAAAAATATCAAGTAAATATCGATAATCAATTAAAAAATATATACGATTAAATGATTTATAAAATTGTAACAGTAAGTGAATTTACTTGTAAATTAAAGTTAAAAGAAATTCTTGCTCTTTATTTTGTAAGGTTAAATTATTTATATTCGTTACGAGTATTAATTATTTTCTATTTTTTTTCTTTAAATAATTAATAGAGGAACTACGTTACACTACGTTTGCAATTAGATGTCTTTGTTATAAATATGAAAATTACGAGAGCCAACTTACCAACAAGGGATCGAAATACCATCTTTTCCTCTGCACAATCAAGAATACAAAATAAAAAGGTAATTCGGATTGTAAAATCATTTTATATCGTTATAACGAGATCCTTGAAATTATACATTCGTTATGGTTTTCTTTAATTTTACATTTACATGTATTATAACAGTTACCGAATAATTTAAAACAGATCTAGTTTAGATCGTTTTATCGTTCCTCTCGTTTTATCGTTTTATCTTGTGAAATTTTGAAAAAGAGGCTCGTGTCACGCAAAAATTACGCGCATTTTTTGCACACAAGAATTTTTAACCATGAAAGTAGACGACTATTGTAAATAAAAATATTAACAAGTGACATATTTATTAACCGTCGTTTGATTACTATTGTAATTACTTTTTCTATCTGTAACGAACAATCGTTATTAAAA